CACTCTGCCTGTCTGCGTTGTTTCTGCAGCCATGTCAGGAGCGAGCTGGGGTCCTGGGCACACGGATGAAGTGCCCCAGGCTTCGTACAAGGCGCAGGCCTAGCTGAGCTCCCTTTGTCTGCTAGCACCCTTAGTTCCTTTCACGATGCTGGTTGAGGGCTGGGAATGAATTCCCTGGGACTCTTTCTGCTTTGCTCAGTGCCTATTTTAAAACAAATAATAAACTACAGGCTCCAGTGCCCTATCCAGTAAGCCTCCTGGTGCTGACTGGGTTTACAGGCTACCATAGTCCTTTTCTCTTCCTGGAGCTGTCTGCTTCACTTCATTGCTTGTCAGGCTGAGGAGTGACCCACACATGTCTTGCTTGGCTGAGCACTGACAGTTCCAGCTCTCGTCCTGTGTTACTTTTAGCCCTGCTGACATGAGGAACCTCCTTTCATTAATGTCCTGTCTGTAGAAGGAGCTTAGTTTAGATGCATGTAAAGGGGTTAGTGGAGAGATGCTGTCCTCGATACACAAGCCAGGTTAAAAAGTGACCCTAATGGCTACTGCATGGCCCGCCCAGCCAAAGATGGGGCGACTGCCAGCCGTCTCTTCCAGGATGACTAAAGCCCTGCGGGAGAAGGATGGTGTGAACTGGCGCCAGAAGCTCCCGCCAATCCCCACAGTTCCTGTTTCTGCCCAGACGAGGTGGAGCGTTCCTTCTACTGGAGCCCCTGGGGCAAACACTCCTCCTGCAACTGCACCACGGGGAGAATCAGGTAAGAGTGTACCCTTGGGCCGGGCACAGAGCCCTGTAGCTCAGAAGGGTGATGAACAAGGCAGCTGCCACACCTGCTTGGCGTGTCTGTAGCTGGGGCTGAGGCCTGGAGAAACCTGGGCCTTGTTCTGCCATAGCCTCTTCGGTTGATTCTGGATCCTTTGATGTCTCTGTGTCTTACCTCTGGTATGGGGATATTTGCTTTCTGAGAGGCTGCACTGATCTTGTCAGTTTTACAGCATTCTGTATTGTTTCATGCTGTTTCCAGACCAGACTGCTGCTGGCACAGAGAGAGCTCGAACTCTGAAGGAAGAAGGAAATGAACTTGTAAAGAAAGGAAACCATAAAAAAGCAGTTGAGAAGTACAGTGAGAGTTTAAAGCTCAATCAGGAATGCACAACTTACACCAACAGGTACTACTTAGCTCTATGCCCAAGTACTTCTTGGCCCTTTAGAAAACCCACCGTGGTACTTCTGACAGAGCTGTCTAATGTTTGCTCCCAAACAAATGAATAAAACAAAAACACCCACACATGTTTGCCCCAAGTGCAGTCTTCCCTGTAGTTTGTATAACATTCTTTGATCAGGTACTGCAAAAAACCCTTGGAGACACTCACCTTAGGGCTGCTAAGGGGTTTTTCCCTTTAATGCTTGCCTGCCAGGACTCTGTTATTTTGAGTAGTGTCTGCTGCCCCATGAACTGCACATTGCAGACTGCTATACTTAAAGACTCCTAAGGCAACTGCAGCAAGCAGAGCATATTCTGGACTGGTGTAGGTAGGAACCTTGAGGGTTCTTGGCTTCAGAGCAGGTTACTCTCAAAATCCTGGGGTGGTTTTTCAGACTGAAAATCTGTTTCCTTCCCCCCCCTTGTAACCAAAACAAACTTGAGCTCAGGAAGTAAGAGTACATAACATATGAGGCTAAAGACTGTTCTGGAGTCAAGCTTTGTGCTGTGCAAGGGGTGGCTGAGATCTGCTATGTATGTTGCAGCAGTAGATGCTGCTGTTAGCCAAAGGTCTAATTGTAGGTAATTGTATTGCAGAGCCCTCTGTTACTTGACTCTGAAGCAATACAAGGAAGCAGTACAGGACTGCACAGAAGCTCTGAGGTTAGATCCTAACAATGTTAAGGCACTCTACAGACGTGCTCAAGCACTTAAAGAACTGAAGGTAAGTCAGTCAGGAGTTTTTGAACGGTTTTAAGCTAGGACTAGAAGCCTGTTCATGCATGATCAGGGCAAGAGATGCCATTTAGAACTCATTTCTGTGCTAGACAAATTCTGCTATCAGATAGGTGAGACCTGTATGGACTGAGGGGGGGATTTTCTTTCACATCATTATTTGCTGGTTGGATCTCATGAGTTTCTGAGCACCGGGTCCTGTTTCTGGAGATGCTGGAAGGAGCTACATGTTGTGTTGAGCTTTATCTTTTCATGTCTGGGGAGAGATTCTCTAGGCAGTACTGGAAGACTTACTGCATCGGTGTTGGAGTCAGAACCCACTTGAGTGGTGAAATTGTCTTCTCAGGCCAAGTTTAAACGTGTTTTAGAACAGTTACATTAATGCCAGTGCTTAAGCAATTATACAGAGGGAGTCACAGACTCAGTTGTGTTGCAGGTTAGTAATTCTGAAGCAAGAGCCTTAGACTGCATTTTCAATGTACTAACACTTAAAAATTCTCCTTCTAGGATTACAAATCAAGTATTGCTGATATCAAGAGCTTGTTGAAAACTGAACCAAAGAACACAGCTGCCCTGAGATTACTGCAAGAACTGAAAAGCCTAGGGTAACCAAGCAACAGGAAAAGCTCTTGCCCTTCTGATGTTGTTACAGGGACCAATCTTAATGGAGGATCTGTATTGAAATCTATCTTCCACTGCTGCTGAGAGGTAACAGGTTCTGTGCCAGCACAATGAATCCTAAGATGCACCTGGCTCTAAGATCATTCAAAGTTTTAATGCCCCTCCTTGAGAGGCATATAGGTTAACTTCCCTGGTTGAATTCAACTTGCCTGTAACTACTGGCCTCAGGGACTCTTTCCATGTTGGCTAAGATGCATGTGAAGTGGCTCTTCTCTTTCTGAAGAGCTACAGAGGTCTTTTTTTGTCCTTGTTCAGGTGACAGTTTTGCTACATTTGTGCTGCTATTACTTAAATAAGGTTGCTGCAGGAACTGCTGCTGTTGCCCTAGCACCATGTACCATTCTTGTAAGAGGCAGAGTTACTTGCACAGGGCTGAGCTTGTTCCCTCTCCCACTTGATGCCTGCTGGCCCTCAGCTGAGTTTCTGCTGCTTAGTGTGGCAGGGCAGATGTTTACAAGAACAGCTTTCTTTTATTTTTTGTAATTCTGCACATTTAAGAAAACAGGAACAAGTTAAGCCTGCCTTGTTACACTGTGCACTTCTTTCAGATTCTGGGTGCTTGGGGATCTTACAATTGTTTTGTGTTGTGTTTTGTTTTTTGTTTTTTTAAAAACCACTTTAGCTCCTCTGTGCCTTTTGGAGCAGTTGCTATAGGATGTTACAGGGAGGATATGCAGTAACATCCCAGCTGAGGTCTGGCTTACTACTTCAATGCATGTTTATACTTTTTGATCTCCTTATCTGGTAGTGATGGCACTGATTTAAAGGGTAGGTAAAGAGGTATTTGGAGTTATTCTATGAACTGTTAAAACCAGTTCTCATTAAAGCCATGTTTATTTTCACTTTAGAACTGTGTTTGTGTGATGGATGGTATAGGGGAACTGGAAGACTCTTTAAACTGCTTTACTTCATACGCTCCCTGCTTTTGGTCAGAGGAATTCACACACTGCTGTCTAATGCCTTGCTTTGGAAGCCAGCTCATTGGTCAGCCTTACACACTGTGTGTGGGGGTAGAGTGCTTTAAACTGGGAAGTCAAGCTGCTGGACAACGCTAGACCTGAGCCAAGTGTTTACAGTACAGAGCAAGAGATAGATGCTACGCCCTATGTCTGTTTCCCACCTTACTCACTTCTCCCAGCAGTCAGGGTTTCAAGCAGGTACCCCACTGAACTGAATGGAAGCAGACATCACTTTAATGCTATTAAAGACAAAGGCTTCTTAGCCTAACGCTAAGTAGTTGTTACAGGTCCTAGGGCTGTACTCCATCAGCTGTAATGGGCCAGGGCTTGAAACAGCTCTTCCCTACAGGGCACAAGTTGCTCCCTTCACTCCCCTCCCACTTCTAAGCACCACAGCTCCCTTGATCCTGCAACCAGCACTTGCCGGAGCTTTTAGCAAGTAAGGGTGGAGAAACGCAGGCCAGCAGTACACAGATAAGCAGAGGAAGGTCACAGAATGCAGGAGGAAGACTGGCCTTGCTTGGTAAGAACTATCCTGTTATCTGGAGCCCTGGTGTTACCTGGAGTGGCAGATGAAGTTGAACCTGCACTGTTCAACTACAATTCATTATAACCCCTCTAAGCCGCAGCATTCACCATCTCCGTCCCCTCTCAGCAACAGCAATGCCTTTTTGGGCCTTGTCTCTAAGACCTTCCCCAGCAATACCACCAGGTAAACAAAGATCCAGCACAGCACCAAGACACAGTACTTCAAGCCCAGGGTCCCTTCTGCTCCTATCTCTTCTGTTCCAGCAAGGGGGCTGCTGTCTGTGCAGGACCCCTCCCAGGCATGTAAAGGTAGTGCTGTCCCCAGGGGCAGCTGGGGAGTGCTTGTCAGAGGCACACCTTCATCCAACCCTTTCAAAAGCCACAGCAACTTTTCCACAGTAGAGACTCCAGATTCACATTTGCATTGCTGCTCCTACCTCAATTCCATAGAGCCTCAGACTTCCCTGAGGAGTTCAGCCAGGGAGCTCCTCTGAAAGTTTTCCAGTATACATGGGGAGCCAAACTCCAACTTCGCCTTTTCTGATAAACATTTAAAAGACCTTGGTCCTCATTCATATCCTTTTTTAGGCTGTTCTGATGTCCCTGTGTTCCTCGACTCTGCTTTGCATTCCCTCTAGCTTTACAGCGGTCTTCTCAAGCCAAGCCATCTGGCATTGTAGGTGGTGGCACAGGCACATCTGAACTGGCCTGTTACACCTGAAAAAAGGTTGCAGACAAGGTAGCCAACAGCAGAGTGAAGTTTACCTGTACAGTTCTGTTCCAGCTTCTTATATACACCTTACACTCATGCAAATACACATTTTTCCTCTAGAGACAAAGCATAAAAAGCTTCCAGCCAGTAGCACTTTGGGATAAATAGCAATTTAAATGAAGACCCTGTTTCAATCTATTAAGTAGATTGAAATCCTTTATAAGCATCTCACTGAGAAGGAGATATCTAAATAGCACACAGTTCAGGCATCCACTATGAGGAAGAGAAATATTTAAGGAGGTCAGAGGAAGAATTGGCAAAAAAAATATCAAGAAAAAGCAATGATGAAAAGCCCCAGGGCAGAGTCCCAGCTGAGCAGAACAGATACCACACAGAAACAAATGTGAAAGTGATTCTATTAACATGCTGGAAGGAAAAGAGGTAGGAGGGATGACTTAGCAGCGAGCTGGAGTATGATACAGCACAGAAGGAAGATTGAGACAGCAACACCAGCACACAAGTTGGACAGAAAGGTAGGTGGTGCTGGTGGAGGTGTGCTCCTGCCAGCAGTCAAGTAAGGTGAATACTTCACCAGTCGCAAGTACCAAGGAGCCTCTAGGGACTGAAATTCCTTTCCTAAATAGGAAGAGCAGAGCATTAAGGCCAGGATGACAACAGCAACGTGCACTGGGAGAGGCCCGCAGAGCAGAACACATTCATAATGGGTCCCAGCTACTCCTGCAAGCAGGGAGTATCCCAGTGGGACACGATGCGGTTATGAATGTTTTCAGGCCCATCAGTGACTCCTTGAAACCACTGGTCAGGAACACACATCAGAGAAGCAGCTTCTGATTTACAGCTACTCCACAATACCTCAAAATCTAGGTCTTGCACACGAGACACACACAGTGTGGTGACCAGCAGAAGACACTTGGAGCCACTACCCCTGCAGACATACAAGGTCCATTACAAAAGAAGAACCACAGGCAGCTGATTCCTTTTGAAAGGAAGTTAAAAACAGCTAACTAGAGAGGATAAAATCCAGGTAGATGGTATAAAGTTTGCTTAAAGCCATGCTCCTAGAGAGTCAGAAAGGAGAAGGAGAGCCTGTTTGTTGGCAATTTGTCCATTTAATCCTGTATGTCCCTTCCTGCCACCTCTCAGGACTGCCGCCCCACCAGCATCACAAGCTTCAAACACTAATTACAGCAGCCTGACCAAAGTCCATCCCTCCACCTGCATGAAACAAAGAATAAGTATTTTCTGTCTTTCTGCAAAGGGAACTAACCCATGCTTTGGGGGTGAAAACATCAGTTCTTTATTCATGTCAGCTACAGGAACAAATAAAACTACAGAGCCAAATAAATTCACTAAAAATGGTGATTCATCAGCACTTGTAGTTTCCTGGGCAACTGAACTAGGCTGGGTTCCACACTACATTTCACAAGATGCTTTCAGTAGCAAGAAGATAATTAACATGGGGATTTTTTTTACAGGTGCAGGAAGAAGCAATTCTGCAAGGTTCACAATACACACACACACACACACACAAAAAAATAGGATGGTACGTTGAAGACAAGCCAGGGTCACTGTACAGGCATGACTCCAAAAGCACAGTGGGGTTGCTGCTGCTGTTCTTCAAAGGCAATGTTGTCAGAGCTTGCTCCCAGTCCTGAAGTCTACAAGAAAACCCAAAGAACTCACATATGCAATTTTCAACTGCTAAGGGAACAATTTAATCAGATGAGAATTCACCTGAACTTGAACTAACACACAGTTTCCTTGCAATCACAAGTCAAGAAAATATTATCTTCAAAGGGGTACGTGAGAGTCTGAATTGCTTGTTAATGGGTCTCTCCCACCTGCAACAGCAGGGCCAGCTCTCCTGCTCAAGCCCACGCAGGACCGCCAGCATTTTATAGGGCGGTCTACTGACAAAGTTCTGCACAAGCCACTGGGAAATCCCAGGAAAGATTGTGCCAGTCCCCACTCGACCTACAGAAAAGCAAGGTCCTTTCCCATCTTCCTCCCTGGTTGCACAGTCATTGCCCTTGTGAACATAGAAAAGCCACACAGAACCACGTCTCTGCAGTACAATTAAGTATGGAAAATGGAGGATGTGATTTAAGAAGTGGAATGTTACAGTCAAATATACTTACATTGCTCACCAAGCCATACTTGGTCTGGACAAGAAACCAAATTCCCAGTTTCAGAATCAGAAACCAGAGACCCTGAGCACAATACGCACATGCCAACACTTGCAACAGCTCCCTGCACCTACCCGGAGTCACTGCAGGAAAGCCGCGGCGCTGCTCTTGTGGGACGTCTCGGTAGCCTGGTGCGCTTGGAGAACAGCAACTGCTTCCTCGATCTTGCAACAGAGAGCACAAAGTGGGGGAGAAGTAGTGTTGCTCCAACATCGGAGCACACTGCACAAGAAATGCAATGTTCCAGGTCCTATCCTCCACACAGACCCACTTCCAAGAGATAAAGGACTCTAATAATTATAAAATCCAACTCTGCTGCTTCTGCAGGAGACTAATGGGCTCACAGGCCTCTTCTATAGAAAAGGAGATGCACCAGCATTTTCCTAGGGGAGTCAGAACTGCCCAGAGAGAAATCAAACTTCTCCATAGGTGGAGCTACCTGACACTGCGCAGCAGAGCCCGTATTCCTTCAGAAACATGTCAGTGAACGGGTAAAAGCAAATCCTGCCTCCAAGGAGCAAC